GCAAACTGTTCATGGTATTGGCTTTCCCGAGCGTTTTCGGCTAATACTTTAACCATTTTCAAGTGTGTGTGTGTGGGGGGGGAGTAATTTTCCGTGCCAATGAGGAATAATAATATATTTTGTTTTCTACAGAGTTTTGTGAGATAAGCTGTTTTGCAACAGTAATTTTCTTTTTAGTGGAGTTTTGTTTAGTTTCCGAGCACGGACAGAACATTCTGGCCGTGTTCTCATTTATACATACATTCACAGTTACATGTACGTAAAATACTACACAAATCAACAGGCTGATTCTATTAGACAGTTACCCCCCATAAAGGTATGATTCAAACTATTAAAACGGGTACGCTTATGTACTGGAACAAGTTACTTGATTACAAAAATTGTTATATAACTTTTTTCTACGTCACCGTACCATAATCGTTGGCATGTTGTCCACTGAGTGTAAATAAAACCCCTCCTACCTTCGCAACATACTTTAGTGTAGATATGTATAGAGTAAGTAAAAATGAAATTATATAAACATTTCATTATACGAAGTATTATAGTGATTTCACAAGATACTCTTGCTTAAATATGTGTACTTTTTTGTAAAAATTTACGCATAATTTTTATATGCATCTATAAATGGTTGACAAGGGAGGGATCAATCAACAGATAGATAATTAGATTAGATGATAGATAAATAGTGTTACTGAACGATAGCCATGCACTTTATAAAACATCTTATCTATGATTATTGTCGTCTTCTTTGACGATTTCATAATATAACTGAGAAATAGATAAATATGCCAAAGTGTATCTACGTGTTTGTCCATTTGTGCATATGGTTTTCTATTAGTATTTTGCTAGTACAGGCTATTTTATAAGTACGCCTCCAGCGAACAATGGGTGTACATTTAAATCGTTGTTTTTCCTTTTATTCGACTAGTGATGAACAATATCGGTCAGCTGTGAATTTAAGAGAGAACTTCTGCTTTGGTGATAATCAGCTTCATAGTCTGCTTGTGGTGAACAAACATCGCTGTTATCAGTAGGAGGGAGGCGCTGAAAAATTTTTCCAACCGATCAAGACATGATTCTTTTCCTACCCCAAATCTAATGTTTTTATTATTATTATTATTATTATTATTATTATTATTATTATTATTTGAACAGAAGTGGGTAAGACTAATAGTTTTTGATCAGAATCGCCATATACATGTGATTTTTAAGAAAAATAACATCACACACGCACAAACACACACACATACACACATAAAACATGTATATATATATATATATATATATATATATATATATATATATATATATATACATACGAAGGGATAGTGATATAGGAATATGGGATATGTGTGCAAATATATATGTCCGTCTGTGTATGTATGTATATACGAGTGTGCTCGGGAGTGAATGCATATAAGCCGATAAGGACCATAAAAATATGCTCATTCAAAATAAAGACAAAATAGTGTAATGAAGTTTGAGTGAAGTATCAAATTATATTCACATAGATAGATAGATAGATAGATAGATAGATAGATAGATAGATAGATAGATAGATAGATAGATAGATAGATAGATGTATTGGAAAGAATAGTTACTCTTGATGAGATGAGAATGCCTGTGCATTTGAACATGTAAGTACGTGTGTTTTTTATGCATTCATTAGCCGATGGACTTTACAAAGTCAAATGGGCTTTACGTAATTGTATGAGAATGAGATTGGTGTAATCGTTGATAATTGAATAGAGATGATTCTTAGGATCAGAATAATTTAACGTACACGCAGAAGGACTAAAAAATAATCATTTAAAAAGAAAAAGAAAGGACTGCAGATTTGGGTTGTGTGGACTAATTGAGCTTTAAGGCTACATTCACACCCTGTTATGAATAAAGAAATCAAACCTCTAATGAGGACTAAACGTATCGTATTTTTTGTGCACAAAACTTCCGAGTGTCGTTGAATAAGAAGACTTTTTAACGTCAGTCCTGTAGACTGGAAAATCGTTGGTGCCAGAGGTAAACTAATAACCAGACACTTAACATACCTATAAGTATTCTATGTTGATATATACATAGGTAACAAAATAAATACCAACAGAAATAAATAGACAAATAGATAAGTAACTATATCCTAATAGAGACAGACCTAAACATTAGCGGAGATATATATATGATCGAACGTAACTCTTTACTTTATTTGTTTATATATTTATTTGAATGTCTTTGTTTTCTTCGCTCGATTTTTATTTATCAAGTAAAATACAGTCTAAGTTGTGAATAAGTAAATAAATCAGACTTTGTGTGATTGGAATGGTATGCGGTGTCGAGTTACACTAGTTGTTTTGGTGTCAGAGGAATTATCCGATTAAACAAACCACTTTTTTCAGTTTGGGCCGCCGAAAGTGGGTGGGTGTTTTTTTATCAGAAGTTGATTAAAAAGCGATCTTTTTATCTTTTTTTTTAATCATTTTCACCCACACAGAAGGCGATAAAGCCACTAAGTCATAAAGAGTTAATGAGTGTGAAAGAAGCTGTGGAAAAATCATTAATTAGAGTGGACAATAAAGGAATAGGAATTAAGGAGACCGAAGATGATGACTGACATTGGCTTTAAATATTTGAAGATCAAATTTGGAAAAGTCTGAAGAAGGTTCCACAAACGAGAAATGCGAGAAAATAAACTGTTAGTATAGAACTCACGGTTACATCTAGCCATTTCAGCTGGAAAATAATGAGCCCTAGCTGACAATCTAGTACTACCTTAAATTTACTATCTATCTATCTATCTATATATCTATCTATCTATCTATCTATATATATATATATATATATATATATATATATATATATATATATATATATATATATAAAAGATCAATGCTGTTTATATACATATATATATATATATATATATATATATATATATGTGTATATATAAACAGCATTGATCTTTTCTTATAACCTTTTATCTTATATATATATATATATATATATGTGTGTGTGTGTGTGTGTGTGTGTATACACATACAATTTTACTTGACATTTAAATACTCTTACACACATATATGCAAACACACATACGTGAACACACGTACACATATATATTAATACAATCAAACGATAGAACATATAGTAAACAGGAATATAGACTTTGTTAATATAACATATACATGTGTATATATGTAGATATGTGGACAAAGTAAAAACTAATATAAACTTATATATAATTATTTCACTATAAAAATTATGTTCATTAGAGTGAATGTGCGTATACGTGTGAGAGTAAGTTAGTTTTAACTCATAGGTATTGTACACCATGCCCATAAAACACACCATGATATTCTTTTTACAATGCTTCATTATATATTTATACTAATTGCTTATATTTGGTATACGTATTTGATATACGTTGATAACTATATTTTAATTATATCTTTAATAGAATACCCACAAACATGTACAAGTATAATAGATAGCTCAAGACTTTTTTTTATTATTTTGACTTCATTATATTAATACATGCCAATGGGTGTTTTTTTTTTAATACAGTTGCAGATTTAATTTATCTTAAAATTTACTTTTTCTTCATTTTATTTACCTGTATTTTTATTTTGGTAATGAATAATATTCCGTAATCAAGCAACAAAATTATTGGTTGTTTTCGATCGCCAAACTTCGCTTCTATTTCACTTGTATCTTTAACTAGGTTTTTTTTTCCAAACAAGTCATGAAAAGTATTGGATTTTATATAACGAACTGTCATTTAATATTTGGTGTGTTTTTGAGACCTTAACGTCGGAACGTTTTGAGAAAATGAAATGAAATGACTTAATTTACGTAACATTTGATTCTTAACAATATCAGATGGACAAGGTTTAAAAAAAAAATAATGAAGAAAAAAACGAACTAAAATATAGGAAAATACCCACAAATATGAGTGTACTTGATTGATACAATAAAATTTTCGATGATCTCTCTGAAAACCTAAGCAATGGACACCAGCCAACAATGACCCGATCACAGCTATGAAATTTATTTTATTTTATATGTTTTTTATTCTATTGTTTCTGTGTACGTGCAAGTTGCAATGTGGGATACTCGTGATGCCTTTATCTAAAACTCTTCTTTAACTTATTCTTTCTTATTAGTTTTTTACTTTTCTTTTTTTTACTTATTTCTTATAACAATAACCATGTAATAAGTTTTGTCCTTTTTTGTTTTATTTTTGTCATTTTTATTTTCGGACATTTGGTCTTACTGGTATCTTCTGTTCCTTTTATAAGTCCTCATTTTGATCTTTCTTTCTTCCTTTCGTCATATTTCCTTCTTCTTTCATTCAACTTAACCATTTCATCAATATCTGGAAATAACTATCACTCTGTTCATCTGCAACCGCTTTTCTATTTCTCTTTTTCCTATCTATCGATCGATCTTAGTTACTTTCTACCTATCTAGATAGCGAGAATTGTGCCTATCATTCCATCTAATTTATTATCTAGTTTTACAATTTAAATTATTATTATTCTTTTCATAACCATATATATATATATATATATATATATATATATATATATGCTTGTGCGTGTGTGTACCTCAATACGCATGTTAATCTCTCTAATTCAACTCATCCGACAATTTATACCTCTATTTCTCATTGAATTAGATGAGCGGTAGCAATTCTTTTCTCTTTTATACGCCTGTATACAGACACACGCATAAATATATTTGTTTGTGTCTTGCTGTGATGCATATAGTGCCAATAAATATGCATAGATTGCCTTTATAAATGATTGCAAGTTTGGTTGGAAACTGACGCATTGTGAAAGGATTACGTTTTCAGATATTTAAAGGAAGAAAACTTTGGGTGGGTGGATATTGCTTACAGCTACCGCTTCCCGGACTTCATATTTAATCCATGTCCTTCGATTTTACTGTTATTTAATTGCACATTAAATTTGGTTTTATTTCTTTTATAAACTTATTCTAAAAGTTGTTAG